AACCTTTGTTTAGCTATTTGTCTACCACTCACATTCACATACTTAAGTTGCTGTAATATCATGCTTGAATTTTAAAATATTTGAAATTGTCTATTAATCTCATAAAGGAAAAACAAGAGTTGATTTCCCTGATATGATACTCCATGTACATTTAACTTTCTACCACTGACTTTGGGAACCCACTACTTTTATAGCAAGCTGTAAGCAAGCCTTCTCTTTGTCCAAGTGAAAGATATTCTCATCTCCCAAAATTATCAGGTGCATAAAACACCCTGGAAAATGGCTCAGATAAAAGAATGATCAGAGCTTTGTAGTCTTGGTATACAAACTAGAGGAGTTAGAGGAGCACAAAAGGATCAAGGAGAAATATATCTCCCAGCCCAGATCGAGGGTCTGCTATTGACTAGCTGTGATTTGGGTTAAGTCTCTTTAGTTCTAAAAGGCTCATTTCTTCTTAGACACATGGCAGTGGCAATACTAATTACCTTGAGCCTGAAATAATGTATTAAAATACATTAAATAAAGCACCCAGCATAGTACCAGACATACAATAGGCACTAAAGTTGTTGTTTTTACCTTTTAAGAAAAGTATGCATTCTGTTTTTTTCCAGAATCCATAAACCAATACCGTATGGACTCTTAAGTTAACATGTCTCAGCCTCAATTTTTTCACTTGTAAAATGAAGATGGTAATATCTTTACCACAGAAAAATGGAATCACATCATAGGCAGTTAAATATGGTATACTTTCTTACTTTATTAATGTTACTAGCAAACCCAAATTTTCTACTTATAGTATAGAGGCATTCTTGCATTAAAAATCAAATCATGGGAAGAAAATTTATGTTAAAGATGCTATGCACAGCAACTTGACAAAGATCATAATATAATTTTAATTTTTATTTAAGCTAAATAGAGTAACTGTGAAATTTGTGAAAATCACTAAAGTTTACTTGTATGATAATATGTATTTTTTGACATTGACAGCCATTAATTTTTAAATAAGAAAGCAAACTTTTTTTGACAGTTGCTTTTTTAAATGCTATTTATTCAAGGGAAATCCATTTACAGTGCTATAAAATACATGTCGTCAGAAGAATTTGGCATACATGTAATTATGTATGTTTTTCTGAAGTGGTCCATAGCTTCATAAAGAAACCATCAACAATACTGTGATTGCTTTGGTGATGGGTTGTTGAGTTAATGATGGTCTCTACGATCCGATGACAATTAAACTCCAGAAGTAGGTTACAGAAGCTGATTCTAATCTCCCTTCTAGTGCTCCAGCAATCTAATCTCTCCTAAGAGTGATTTACTCCTTACAAAATCATTCATAATGATATACCAAATCATTCAAATATATCAAATCGCTGGGGATACCCTTATATGTTCTATAGTTTAACTACATTTCTCTGATTTCTTTTGGAAGAACTATTTATGCAGGTTTTTATAAAAAATATTTATACATGTTTTACTTTAAATTTAATAACTGATATGTGCATGCAATGTATAATTTCTTGTATTATAAGAAATACAAAATTTAAGATGTCATATTAATTACAGAACCCATTTTCATGAAAATGCTTCAATGCTTTTGAGAGGCAGTATACTTAAAGGTTAAAAGCACGAAATCTAGAACTAGAACCCCAGGGCTGCAAATTCAGCTGTAGCAACTTTTGCTGTGTAACTGTCAGGTGAGCTACTTAACCTCTAAGTTTCCTCATCTTTAAAACAGAGTAATATCATTTACCTATTCTTGGAAATTTGTAGTGCGAAGTAAATGAGTTAACATACATAAAGTGCTTAAAATACTGTCTACTGCACAGTAAACATTGTTTAATAGATGTATTATCTAATATGATATTACAGATAATATAGATTAAAACTGATTAAATTGCTAATTGAGTTCATTGTTTTTATGACACTAAATAGAGAAATATTAGGATCTAATAAAAATACTCATTTATATGCAAAGTCTATAATAGAGTCAGCAAACATTTTTTAATTCAACTAGTGGTTGAGATAGACACATTAAACAATGCTTCTTCAAAAATGTGCAATAATTGAATTTTAATGAGGTCAATTGTTTGTCACAGATTATTATCAGCTTTTTAAACATTACTGTTTCACAAAGTACTAATGTTAAAAGTCTTTCCCAAGACTTCTTAAAGGAAAAGAAGAAACGCCATATCCTGTTATGTATCTTGTCTCAGAAAGAGAACTTAGTGTCCCTCTTACACAAGTAAACATTCATTGCCAAAACAGTAGAATGTGATTAATTGCCTCTTGATTTAGTTTTCTTTTGATGTGGTCAAGACATATCTTTATACGTAGTGTTTTGATAAAGAAATTCAGTATCATACCCACCAAGTTGACACGTGTTTTTCAGTATGCTGTGAAAGGAGCAATTGTGTTGTACCTTAAACAAAAAGAAAGAAAAGTCGATGAATAGATTTTTTTCAGGATGTGATTTATGACAGAAGTCCTACAAGCTGTGTTTTTCTTTGCCAAATAATTCCTTTCAAGTGCTATTTTTTTAGAATTATGTAACGTCTCTTTTTTTATGCCAGAAGAATAGCCAGGATATGAATTTGACATCACATGCATGGTGAGAGCGTGGAAAAGATTCTGAGAATGCTATTTACTTCCAAACAAAAGGTCACAGAATTAATTTTGCGAGTCAGCGTTTGATACTGGCTGTCTGAGAGCCTTGAATATACGGAAAATTAATGTGTGTACCTTCAAAATTTATGTGTGCATACACTTCTAATAAACCCTTTCACAAGGCAAAGAACACTGTGTCTACCTAATTTTACAATTGCCTTTTTAAGAGAGAACTTTGTAAATTTACACAATCATACTTAACCTAGCTGAGCCAGGAGAAAAATCCCTTTTGAATATTGAACTCTATGAATTATTCTAGTGTGTTATGGACTCTGACTCGAATGAATTAGCAGATTATCCTCCTAAGACTCTTAAAAATTCAGCAGCTTCACTGTCTGTCCATTTATGTGTCCCAAATTATGTTAATTGGAACTAGCTCACCAAGCATACTCTCTGTAGAATATACATCATTCTAACTTTATGTCTATGGTCTACATAGAAGTGTCAGCTTGAAGAACATGGTTGTATTTAGTAGAGCTGTGGGCTATTTTTTGTTAAAGCTTAAACAGTTCTTTTTTCTTCCTTTCTTCTTTCTTTTTCCTTCCTTCCTTCCTTCTTCTTTCTTTCCTCCCTTCTTTCTTTCTCTTTCTTTCCCTCTCTCTCTTTCTCTCTCTCCCTCCCTCCCTCCTTCCTTCCCTCCCTTCCTTCCTTTTCCCTCCTCCCTTCCTTCCTGCCTGCCTTCCTTTCTTTTTTGCTTTTGTTAAGAGACAAAGTTTTGCTCTGTCACCCAGACTAGAGTTCAGCAGTGTGATCCTAGCTCACTGCAGCCTCGACCTCCTGGGCTCAAGTCATACTCTTGCCTCAGCTTCCTGAGTAGCCAGGATTCAGGTGCACATGCCACACCTGGCTATTTTAAAAAATATATATTTTTTTTGTAGAGAAGGAGTATTTTTATGTTGCCCAGGATGATCTCAAGCTACTGGGCTCAAGTGAACCTCCTGTCTTAGCCTCCCCAAGCTCTGGAATTACAGGCGTAAGACACCACACCTGGCTAAATAGTTCTTAATATGTAATTTCATTTAGTCATCTTTGTGCCCACACTATAGAATTTGGGGGATGAGTAAATGAAGGGATCTAGGAGTGGTTGAATATACTAATAATCACTAATAACCACTGTTTGTTGAGTGTTTGCTATGACTTAAGCACTTGTCTAAGCACTTATGTGTGTTAACTCATGTACTGCTCATAGCAACTCTATGGAGTACATACTATTGTTATCTTCATTTTAAAGATAAGAAAACTGCAAAATAGGGGATTTGAAGTAATCTGCCTGGGGTCAGGAAGCTAATCCACCTAGGGTGCTCATGAATACAATGAATTTCAATGGGAATATTCTCAATACAAGAGGCTTGCTGAAGAGTTCTCAGAAAAGAACTTCATTTGAATAAACTTGAGTGGATCCCATCATCTCTTTCTCAGGTCTAGGAACTACAGAAACTACCCTGAAGAGATCTGGGTAGAATGCTTTTCCAGCAAAAAGTATTCAAAGGTGACGAATTTTCTGGAATATCAACATACTAATTCTCTCTGGAAGTTGGAGGAGAGCCTTTCCAATGAGCAGAATACTGGTATACAGCATCTAGGTTATCCTTTGTGTGAAGCCAAATCAGAAGTTTGTTTGATGAGCATAGAATCAGATCATGAATATTCTAAAGGGCTATTTCCTGAACCTAATGATTCCCTTATCCCACACTAGGGAACGTGAGGCTGAACTTTTCAAGTCCTCCAGATTCACTTTACTAAATACACTGCTGGATGTTCACTCACAACGTCACTCACAGGGTCGTTAGAATGATAACTGAAAGTTACATATGATTCCTCCTATCCACGCTGCTTTTCCACGTTTAGAACTCCAGTGCCTCTCGAATATTGCATGTGATTTGCAAGAAAAGATACCTTTTGACATTTGGCATTAATTTTATAGGATCCACTCCCAAATTTCTCTTTTGAGGGTGTTGTCTTGGAATACAGACATTTTCTAGACATCCACAGCCCTTCTACCTGAACAAATAAACGCATAGATATATAAACATGACAGAATGTTTATATTTAGGTTGGTGCAAAAGTAATTGCTGTATTGCCAGCACTTTTCATGGCAAAACCCACGATTACTTTTGCACCAACCTAAGATATACAGCTATCCAACCCCCAGTCCACCAAAGCCAGATTTGTGTATGAGGGCATAGCTATTTTATAGTAAGTAAGATACATAAGTTGGAGAAATTTTTACTTAAATCTGAGTTAGTCATTGCCAAAGCAATACTGTTTCTCCTGTACAATAGAATATTAATGTAATGTCATAAATTTCCTTTAAAAATAATTACTTTCACTTTCAGATTAACATTAACACTTTCCTGTCCAATGGATCTCAAGAATTTTCCCATGGATGTACAAACATGTATAATGCAACTGGAAAGCTGTGAGTATGAACCACTTACTTTTTAAAATACTTTTACAGTATAGTAGATACAAACTTTGAATGCCTAAGATGGCTAATTTATTTTGCAATCATTTTGGTCACATATTTACTGAATAGGCATATAACCTTTCACCAGGTGCTGAAAATAATGATACCTACCAATACATGCACTCTACACTATGAGAAAGAAACAAATTGAGGATCTAGAAATAACAGATTTTTAAAGCTTGAAGTTTAGATACATGTTTCCATACACATCATCAGAAGTGAAAAGGGGGCCAGGCGCGGTGGCTCAAGCCTGTAATCCCAGCACTTTGGGAGGCCGAGACGGGTGGATCACGAGGTCAGGAGATCGAGACCATCCTGGCTAACACGGTGAAACCCCGTCTCTACTAAAAAAATACAGAAAACTAGCCGGGCGAGGTGGCAGGCGCCTGTAGTCCCAGCTACTCGGGAGGCTGAGGCAGGAGAATGGCGTAAACCCGGGAGGCGGAGCTTGCAGTGAGCCGAGATCCGGCCACTGCACTCCAGCCTGGGCGACAGAGCCAGACTCTGTCTCAAAAAAACAACAACAACAACAACAAAAACTATCATTTATTGGGAGCCTCTTATCAACCAAGTGTCTATATATATTTTTCTTACACTGACAACAAAGATTTTGTTATCCCTATGTTTTCAAATGTGAAAATGGTCATGTTGAATGATTGAATATTTGGCTCCAATTCAAAGATGACAATGACAAACTGCCTCCAAACTTATGCTGCTTCTGATAACCAATGTTTATTATTTTAATGTCACTCTGCTGGGTATGTTATGTATGTTATCTCAGAAGACAAAATTTCTCACACTTTCTCACAGATTTATTTAAACTTTCAGGTATTCCTCTAAATTTCTTCTTTCAAAGTAGACCCATATGCCTCACTGATTAATGTTAATACAGGTGAACATTTCACATGCTACCCTTTCTCTGATCTATGTAATCAGACCTAAATTAATTGTTTACAGTGTTTAATCTCATATAAAAATTAAGCAATATGCAATATTTTCTCTTATGACAGTATGTTATACGAGGGGGAATAAAAGGACTGTTTGACACATTCCTTGAGGAAAATTTGAAGGCCGATCCTCAGACTCCAGGTGTCAAAGACAAGGCTTGTAGTGTGATGGAGTTGTCACTAGATGGCGGACCAACTTTGTGGGGCAACGTGACTATCGCCCTCCCTCTCCCACTTGGTTTTACTTAAGAAGTGGAAATATGAATTTCTCTTATAATTCCTCCTCAGAAAATTTAAATTGATTATTTTTATAAATAGTTCTTAAATAATTAGCACACATATGGATAAAGTATTCATGTAAATGAGAGGAAATAAAATAAATTAAAACTTGGGGAGCTACTTAGCAATCAATCTATGTGGGGAGAAGCGGCAGAGTTGATTTTGAAATTGAAGAAAGGCAATTTGAGGACAGGCTGATTGCATATCTTGGTTGAAAAATTAAGTACATTTAGCGCATAGAGTTTAAAAATGTGCACGACCCTCTAAGTGGCACCCAAATTACTCAGTCCAGGGGCGGGGCGTGGATATTAATCAATAGGTCTAAGAAATGGTTCAACATATAAAGGGCAAGAAAATTGTTTGGTCCTTGCTATATGTCTTAAAGATTATTTTAGTTAAATGAACCAAGATTATTTAAGAAGTTTTCATAATTTTCCAGCAAAAAGAACAGAAAGTGGGATAAAGCACACTTATGTGGAAGGTAGAAACAGGAGAGGTTGATTCACAGTGGACGTGAAGTCATTGACTTCCTGTGTGTCCCAGCGAAAAAGCTTAGATAAATGGGATCAGTTTAGAAGCACCGACAAAGAAAGGGAACAGGGGATGAGAAACAAATGTTGATGGAACAATTGATAAAATCCATCTTAATATGTTTGAGATCTGGGAAATTTAGGTCTAAAGCCAAAGAGGGAGTGAAAAGTGAAGATCAACTATTAAAAGCCACATACAGAGTGGTTCAAAGAATCAGATGAAATAGCTGAAGAGGAGAATGTAGAGAGGAAAACAAAACACGAACAAGAACAGACCCTTAAGAAATGCCTACATTTAGAAGTTGTTGGAAAAAATTCCAGACAAAGGCAAGGATGGCAGATTAAAATCAACACTGTTCAACCTCAAAAGAGAAAGGACTGTGAAGGAGTTCTGTGTAACAAAATCAAATGCTGCAAAGAAAGTTTTGTAAGGTGCTTGAGAAAAGCAATTGTTACTGTTAACAAAGACAAATGTGATTAGAATAATGACGGTCAAAGCTGGAATCTAAAAAGGTGTTTTTTTTTTTAGGTGAGTGATGAGGAAGTGGGAGCAGTGAGTGAAATCTTTTATTCCATAAATGTTACTTATTAAAGAAAGATGAGAAAAAGTACAGTGCCTGAGGGTTGGTTAGATCACTGGGCTTCTGTTTTGAGTAAGGAAAGCTTACTGGTGCTATTTTGCAGGGCACAAAAGCTGACATAGTAAAACCTCTCGTGTGTCTGCCTTTCTCAGAACATTTCTCAACATAAGAAAAGAGAGTCTTTTCTTTTCTCCTTTATTTCTTAATTCCTCTATAAGAAAGAAATACGAGTGGGTTGTTCAAGGGGTTGTTTAATATTTCAGTCATTAAGCACTTCCTGCTCTTATTAGGAATTAATTTTAATTTAGCTCACCATAGAGACTTTGTTTATTAAACTCCTGCAGCAGATGCTAATGTCAGTCCAATTTTTTTCTTAAAACATTTTTAGGACAATTACATATATATATACACACACACACGATATATAATACATACATATATATTAAGAAATGCCTACATTTCTGTGTACATATGCATACACATGTATATATATATTCATACATATGAATCTACATATATGTGTGTATATATATGTTTTAAGAAAAATTTATATCTATTTTTTTCTTTCTCTTTAAATAGTGGCTAAAATGTCAAGATAAAAGATTGTAAATCAGTGGAACCCACTGGAAAGTAGGCAAAAAATGTTTAACCTACTGGAAAGCAAGAGCTGTAAGAATCCCAGCGTCCACTTTTGAATGAAATCTGACTGCAAAAAGGAAGAAAAGAAAATGTTCAATAATATTAAGACATGGGAAGCAGGCAAAAAGGAAACACAATTTAAAAGAAAACACTTTAATGGCTTGTAATGGTACAACTTCCTTAAATTCAGTAAAAGTTCAATAAGTATATGTCAATGGTCAAGACTGTTCCAAGTGGCCTGGAAAATATTCTTTCATTTAGGCATCAATTGAAAAATATTTATCAAATACCTAATATATTCCACATATTATGTTGGGTGGTATAACAACAAATGAAGCAAAAAAGTCTCTGCTTTCAAGAATTTCAGAGCCTACCTGAAATATAATGATATAAATTACATTTATGCCAATATAATAATTCAATTAAAGATAATAAGCAAATGTTAATGGTATACTGTTAAAACAAAGGAGAAAGTGAATAAGAGAAGAACAAAATAAGCAATGAATAACTAACTTAGAAAAGACTATCTTGTCTAAACTACCATGATCCCATGCCCTCAAAGTACACATTTACGACTTATAATTGAAACCATAGATGATATAAAATTCCTAGTTAGAGGAAAAGAAATTACTGGGGAAGAGGCTTATGCAAGGAAAATCCAGGGTAAGAGAAGACTTGCATTAGAAATTGATGAGAAAAAAAATGTATAAGTTAAGGATAATATCAAAGAATAAAAATAGAATAAAAGGGTTAAATTCACTTAGGTAAAAAAGAGATTCTCAAACTAGATGTTAACCAATACCAAGACCCAACAATATGTCGACAACTAGACACTTTCTAAGAATACCACGCATAAAAAAAATAATAATTTGGTAAAGAAAAATTTAAAAAATGTATATGTGAGAAATGTACCTTGAAAAAGTCCAGAATAATTTTGATCAGAAAAAAATTAATGGCAGAAAAAAATTATGAGGCACAAATACTTGAGTAGCATGCTGGTAAAAAATCAATATACAGTGGCTCACGCCTTTAATCCCAGCATTTTGAGAGGCCAAGGCAGGTGGATCACTTGAGATCAGGTATTTGAGACCAGCCTAGCCAATATGGTGAAACCCCATCTCTACTAAAAATACAAAACTTAGCCAGGCATGGTGGCCCTTGCCTGTAGTCCCAGCTACTCGGGTGGCTGGCTGAGGCTGGAGAATCGCTTGAACCCAGGAGGCAGAGGTTGCAGTGAGCCAAGATGGCACCACTGCATTCAGCCTGGGTGATAGAGTGAGACTCTTTCTAAAAAAAAAAAAAAAAAAAAAAAAATTCCATATATAATTAGGAAATTGTAAGTATTTAACCATATAACTTCTAAATATATTAAACAAAAGCAGGATGAACTGCATAAAAAACAGATAAATCAACAATTTACTGGATTATACAAGCACAGTGTATTTGAACAAAACAAATCATAGAGATAATTCTTACTGTTTCTTTGTTTAATTTTGTTTTTAGCATATGGAAACATTTACAAAAATTGATTATGTTATACACCACCAAGGAAGTTTCAGTAACCTCCTATGAATCAACATGTTATAAAATTAGAAACCAATAACAATATAGAATTACTGTAAGTTACTACAAGTTCCCATACATTATTATATATTAATATACACTTGCATAACTGGAATGAAAAACATGTACTAAATGACTATTTGTTTAATGGTGAAAATTAAGAAAAACTTGATGTTGTTACAATGAAAGCACAATATAATCAAAATTTCTAGATACAACTAAGCCAGATTTTTTTTTAGTAAAAACAATTTCACTAAGCATTCTATTCAAAAAGAACAAAACGACACAACAGAGTATCCAAAGAATCACAAAAACCCCTAAAACTGGTGCTTTGAAAAATCTCAGAATCTAGACACATCCCTGGAGAAATAATTTAAATTAAAAAATTAGGTTGATTGAATGTAAAACATACA